TTAGTGGTGTTGGGCAGGGATTTAGCCCGATTTCTGCCATTTTTCTGGACCCCACTTCCTTCCAGCAGAGTTGAGTATAGGTGGTTTCCTGCAGCTGAACAATGCTCAGGTCTGTCCTGGTCATGCACATGCCTTAAACTGGTTGTCTTCCCCAGACTTCGACGTCCTGTGCTTCTGTTTCTTAGGGGCATATTCTCTTGTGACCTGCCTGTACCAAATTGGTTCTTTTCAAGTATCATTTTGAAGCCAGGTTCTGTCCTATAGATACCACCCACCTGTAGGGCTAGCTCGCCCTAAGGGGACCTCTCCACCGGCAAACAGGACCAGCGCTGCTCCCAGGGCTTGCGTCCTCCAGAGGTTCCCACTGCCTCTTCTCTCCTAGGTAGGCAGCTACCTAGGAAACTGAGTTATGCTCCTCAGCAGCCCTGCAAAGGGTCCAGACTCCCTGCATCCTAACTTTCTAACACCCTTTCCTTGACTTCTGACATTATTCTTTTTAGCAGTAGCCTTCTTCCCTCTGGGAAGCCAAAGAGTATGGTGTTTTGAGCTATGTATGTGGCTGCTATTTTTATCTTGTTTATTTTAATGTTAGAAACTCATAAACTGACCTTCGGTGGGGCCTGGTGAGAAGGGAGCAGTCCGCATTAGGACCTCCTTTAGTGGAGCCAGACTGTTGGGCCCCTGAACGCTTGTTGTTAGATCCAGTGGCCAAGTGGTCTGAGCTTACGGAGAACATCGAAGTGCACTTCAGGGTTATGATGGTAGAGAGTCCAACAAAGGGCACTGTTTGGACCCGAACAGACACTGACGTGAAGAACCTCAGACAACAGGCTCTGGTGAACACCGGCTGTGTTCTTAAAGGACACTCAGCAGCAAGAAGCAGGGCAATTGGATCTTTCAGTTTGCTTGGTTAGGTGCTCCTGGAGGATGGCTGCTGCATTTTGCAAGGTGGATTAGGGAGAGGCCCAGCTCCATGCTCAGAATGCCTTTGATGCTGATCCACCACTTTGGGAAACCCAAATGTTGCCTACATCACCTGTGACTCACCGGAACATGAAAAGATCCACATGGGTTTCTTCAGCTGTCTGCAGGTAATACCCGGTTGCCAATCTTGGCTCCCAGGGCCCAGGACACCCTTGATCTCCAGCCAGCCAGTTTGCCCTTCACCGTGAGGGGCATCCCCCTAAGCGAGCACCTCCTGAGGTGCTTAGCAGGCTGTCCTGAGCGTGCGCACCAATGGCTGTGGTTCTCCATGCAGACTGCATCTCAAGCCAGGGTCTGCGCACCAACGTGGCGGGTCTTGTCTGGCAGATACGAGCAGCTCCTTCCATAGCTGCCTGCCTGTGTGCTCAGGGAGCTCCTGGTTTGAAATGATGCTATTCTGAAGGGGGAAGCTCTTTGATATCCATCCTACGTCCATCACCCCACCACTCCTCTTCCAGTCATGAGCACAATGGTCTTACATTGGGTTTTTGTAAAAAAAATAAAATAAATGGAGACTAACTCAAGGAGCTTGGAGGTCTTTTGTGATTTTTCTCTGCAGGCACAGAAAAGTGACCTCACAGAAGGTGCCTTTCTGATTCCAGGGACCCACCAATGCATGGCCAGCTGGGACCGCCCCCCGGTTTGCCCTTCACCGTGAGGGGCATGCTATGTGGGCACCCCTCTGTGAGAAGGGCTATGTGATTGGTCCTGGAGCAGCCCGCGTACCTGAACCTAGGTGATACTGTAAACATGCACTGACATGGGCAGCCTTGCCTGTGCCCATTTGTGGGATTAGTCATTTGATTACATAGGAACTTTGGTGTCATTTAACTGGTTTGTGTAGGATGGCAAGTGGCATATATGTCACCTTTATTATTTCATGGTAATTTAAAAACGTGTGTGTGTGTGGTGAGGGGAGCTCCTGTGTGCATGTGCTCCCAGTCTAGAGGAGAGGGCTTGCTTAGAATGGCTGAGTTGGGCTAGAGGTGGTTCTGTTGACATATGGCGAGTCACTAAAAGAATCTGCATCTGATGCTTCTTAACTGTCAGAACCCAATTCTTCTGGTGTCTGTGTTCCTAGACTTCTGCTCGGTTATGGGATCAGAGCCATCTTAAAGAGAGGGCACCAAGTCATGGGCATTGGAGGAGATGGATAGAGATAGGAAAGAGCATGGAAGCCAGAGAAAAGCTGAGTTGGGGGGTGCTCCTCGCCTGGGCTCTGCAGTTGGGAGGGAGTTTGGTTTGCATTGATGATCCTTGGAATGTGTGGGACCTAAAAGTCAGTGCACTCCTCAAGTAGGGTTGACCACTGATCAGGTTTGTGGCAGGTGAGGGGGGTGGATAATGTCATATAGAGTGAGACTGCCGACTTGGGTCTGGAGTTTTGGCTGCCAAGTTCCTATTTGTCTAACCATCCACCTCCTTGTTACAATCTGTCTTGGGACCAGAGAGACTTGAGGAAGTTGCATGAGGCTGGAGAAATGGCGGTTTTACTGTACACAAAGATAGCATGTATACTTAGGTTCCTGTCAGTTCCTTCTTAAAGTGGTCACTGTTAATGGTTGATATTATTGTCACTGAAATTGAAAGCTCTAAAATATTTACAAAAATGTTTAAAAGGATAATGTTGAAATTAAGGGTATGGCTCAAGAGTAGATCACATTGGTTCAAATCCTAGGTTGCCCATTAAACTGGTGGGGAGCAAGTTAAACTAAACTTACATCTCATCTGTAAAATGGCAAAAATCATGCCCACATTGTAAAGAAATGTTGAAAGTTTACAAATGTGAAGAGTCCACTCTTTGGCACACAACAGAAATGAACATACTGTAAACTTCTTAGCGGCTCTTTCTGCACTCCATTTTTTTAATGAGAACTCATTGTTCAAGACTCAGCTGGAGCATTGCCTGTAGAGCGGCTTTTCTTCCAAGAAGTCACTGCTCACCTCTCCCCATCTCCCGTTAGAGCAGCCTGATCTTTTACCTCTATGCTCTGTAATGGTTTATAGCTCAGCTTCCTACATCAAACTGTAAGCTTCGAGACTAGAGCACATAACAGTAAGTGCTGAATAGTTTTTTGATAAATGAATGATTTGACAAAACAACTAGAGGGTCACAGAAATAGTTGGCAACAAGCTGAATAGTAATCAGTACTATAATGCTTCTGGAATTCAGTATAGCTAATGTGGTATTAACAAGATAGTTAAGGGAAGCTTGGCACTGGATGGCTGAGAAGTCTTATATTCACTACTTTTATTATTTAAATCTTCACTGACAAGAGGATAAGAGCATGCCAAGACTTAGACACAGAGTGGATTCCAGAAGAGATTATTAAGGTGGGAAGCCTTGCCGTAGGCCAGGTTTGGTTTGGTATTTAGTTTCACTTGCTTCTTGACCTGTTTTAATTATGCCACTTGTTTTACCTTTCTCTATTTGTCTTTGTATTTGTAAGAGTATAAATCCTGGTCACATTGAAGGGTTGTCATGTTAGAGCTTAAACTGTTTAGATTCTGTTTATTTACTATTGCTCCCAATATTCCATTATAGGATAAACCTATACGTAGAAGCTGGTTTACTGTACATGCTGTGTAGCCATCTACATATCCATCTCTCTAGTTATCCTTTCATCCATCCTACTTTTGGTATATTTCTAAGTAAATTACTGACGTCAATGCATTTCCTTCTAAATACATAAGCACACACATCATTAACTGGAGGTCACTATTAGTTTCTATGTGTTTTACATAAAATTTACATATTAAATTTACACACTGAAATGCACAAATCTTTAAGTACACTCTTCAGTTTTGACAACTGCATACACCTATGTAACCTAAACCTCTGTTAAGACATAGAACATGATTAGCAAACCCAGAAGGTTCCCTCATCTTCCTTCCTAGTCAGTCTCCACCTCCATCCCAGAGATGACCAATGTTCTGATTTTTCAAAAAAATTTTGAACTAGTTTTCCCTGTTCTAGAATTTCATATAAATGGTGTCACACAAATTTTACTTTTTTGTGTAAGGTTTCTATAAACTTGGCATAAAATTTTCAAGATCCAGTGAATGTTATATGTATTAGTAATTTCTTTCTTGTATTGCTGAGTAGTATTCCCAAATGTAGTGTAACAGCATCTGTCCATTCTGTTGATAGGCACTGGGCTGTTTCTAGCTTGGGACTATTCTGAATAAAATTGCTGTGAAGATTCATGTGCAAGTCTTTTTGTGGATTTATGTTTTTTTTTTGGTAATGCCTAGGAGTGGAATTGCTGTGTGATAACGTAGGTGTATGTATGTTTAGTTTCATAGGAAACTGCCAGGCCTTTTCCCGTGTGTGCCATTTTGTGCTCCCCTGAATAAGAAATTCTTGTGTCCACAGCCTCGCCCATCTGTGGTGTTGCCAGTCTTTCTGATTTCACCCATTCTGGTGGGTAATGGTATCTTGTAGTTTCAATTTGCATTTCCCTGATGACTAAGACATTAAGAACTTTTCATGTGCTTACACCCTTCATATATATTTCCTTTGTGAACTATCTGGATAGATCGGCCCATTTTAAAAAAAAAACAACTTAGTCTTTTTTCAAATACATTTTTAGTAGACTTTTATTTTTTTAGCAGTTTTAGAATTACAAAAAATTGAGCGGAAAGTAGAGCTCCTCCTCCGTTTTTCCTACTGTTAATATCTTGAATTAATGTGGTACATTTGTTACAATTGATAAGCCAATATTGACATATTAACTAAAGTCATAGCTTACATTAGGGTTCATTCTTTGTACAGTATTCTGTGGGTTTTGACAAAAGCATAGTGACATGTAACCACCTATTCATCCTTCCCTCTCTCCAAACCCCTGGCCTTTTTGCTGTTTCCATAGTTTTGCCTTTTCCAGAATGTCACATAGTTGGAATTGTGTTGTGTGTAGCCTTTGCAGATTGGCTTTTCACTTAGCACCATGCATTTAAGTTTCC